TGTATGCGTACCAGGGCAGTTGTCATAGGCAACTGTGACTTGCCCAGTGCAGCAGGTCCCTTAACTGCCTAGTTCTCTTTCCAGCCCCAAATCCCGCATTGTTGACATGGGTTGGGGAATTTACACTAAGGTAATTACAAAGATTTGGTTACGTGTGTGTGTGTTGTGTGTGCTATTACAGAGGTATGCCAACATGCCTGACAATAAAGTGCTTTATTTAAAACATTAAAGCATTTAAGCTTTTAATGTTCAGGATAGATCTCAACATGTGTTAGTGAAATAAGTCCATACTTTGAAACTTTAATTTGTATCAAATATGAAAATTTCATTACAGAAAGACAGATAAGGTCATTAAGACATGTAGTCAAGTCCCTTACAACTCTGTATTACTTGGGAGTATCTGTGTGAATGTATGTTGTGTGTAGGAAGGCACTCAAAGAGGACAGAAGAGGGTTTTAGATCCCCCAAAAAAGCATTCATAGCCATCTCTCTAGTGCTCAAGTTTTTTAAAAATTAATTTTGATGGGCTGGAGAGATGGTTGAAAGCACTGACTGCTCTTCCAGAGGTCCTGAGTTCAACTCCCAGCAACCACATGGTGGCTCATAACCATTTATAATGGGATCTAATGCCCTCTTCTGGCATGCAGACAAAACATAATAAATAAATGTTTTTAAAAAATTAATTTTGGCCGAGCAGTGGTGGTGCACGCCTTTAATCCCAGCACTTGAGAGGCAGAGGCAGGTGGATTTCTGAGTTCGAGGCCAGCCTGGTCTACAGAGTGAGTTCCACGACAGCCAGGGCTACACAGAGAAACCCTGTCTCGAAAAATAAAAAACAAAACAAAAAAAAATTTTTTTGTTTGTATGGTTCACCATGGTGCCAATACAGAAGTCAGAGGACAGCTTCAAGGAGCTGGTTCTCTCCTTCAACCATATGCTCCCAGAGGTTGATTCAGGTCATTAGATTTGGAGGCAAGCGCCTTTACCTTTGGAGCAATCTCATCAGCTGTCTTTCAAGCAACAGGCTAGAAAATATGAAAATTCCCTTTCTTTTCTCGCTTCCCTTTTTTCCTTTCTGTGCTGACGACTGAACCTAGAGCCTCAAGCATTCTAGGCAAATACTCTACCACTCAGCCATATTCTTGTCTCTCTTCTAGTTTTCAGTTTAAGACAGTATTTCTTAGCTACCCTGGTCTTGAACTTGCAGTTTTTTGCCTCAGCTTCTCAAGTAGCAGATATTACAGGCCTATGCCAACAGGCCAGGCTTCATTGAGTTTTAATGTACAGAACATCAGAATTTAAATATAAATTTAAGCCATAAGAGTCTGAAGGAAGGTAGAAACAGATTTACAAATAACACTTATAAAACACTAAATTTTAATAGTCACATATTTGTATGCTTAGTCCTCAGCTGATGAACTGTTTGGGAAGGATTAGGAGGTGTGGCCTTGTTGGAGGAGGTGGCATTGGGGGTGGGCTTTGTAGTTTCAAAAGCCAGTCTAGTGTCTCTCTGTCCTGCCTGCTGCTAAGGTTCAGGATGTAAGCTCTCAACTACTGTCTGCCTCCTTCTTTCACGATGCTCACGGATTCTCTAAAACTGTGTGCAAGCCCTCAATTGAATGCTTTCTTTTATAGAGTGGTCTTGGTCACGATATCTCTTTACAGGAAGAGGACAGTAACTAAGACACCAAGGTTCAGAAAGTTGGTCTTAGTCATATGCCATGTAAAATACAGCTGCTGGATTGCAGACAGAGGGGCTTCAAAACTGGGCTAGGAAGTCTGGATTTGACTTTGTGGTGATAAACTAGTACAGCAGAATTAATTAGTGGTTAAGATTTCCTGTAGCGCCGGGCGGTGGTGGCGCACGCCTTTAATTCCAGCACTTGGGAGGCAGAGGCAGGCGGATTTCTGAGTTCGAGGCCA